GCTTTCACTACATTGAAATTATTAATAACAGCCACCAGGTTTTTACCTCGTGCTGCCTCTTGCTCACTGTTCCTGAAGTGCTTTAACCTGGTTTTGTTCCTCCTCCTCCTCTCCTTCTTCCCCTGTTCACCACAAGCACATTCAAGTTTTTTTCTAACTTTCCCTTTAATAACCTATTTCTTTCTTCCTTTCTATTTTTTAAATTTTTTTTTTCTCCTTCTAAACTCTTCCATATAATTAAATTCTATTCATGCAGAGGAGGTTTTTCAGGCCAGTTTTGAATTTTCTTGAGATGAAGTGCAGCCCAGGTAAGTGCCTGGGGGTTTTGCTCAGCCCTCCAGGCTCCTGGTTTGGAGGTTTGGAGCCTTCCAGTCCCTGCAGAGATGGAAATCCAGCTGCTGCCACCTCAGAATGGAAATTCTGGGCAGGTTTGGAGCCCTGCAGTCCCTGCAGAGATGGAAATCCAGCTGCTGCCACCTCAGAATGGAAATCCTAGGCAGTTTGGAGCCCTGCAGAGATGGAAATCCAGCTGCTGCCACCTCATTTGGGCTGAGAATGGAAATCTGGGCAGGTTTGGAGCCCTGCAGCCCCTGCAGAGATGGAAATCCAGCTGCTGCCACCTCAGAATGGAAATCCTGGGCAGCTTTGGAGCCCTGCAGCCCCTGCAGAGATGGAAATCCAGCTGCTGCCACCTCAGCTGGGCTGAGAATGGAAATCCTGGGCAGCTTTGGAGCCCTGCAGAGATGGAAATCCAGCTGCTGCCACCTCAGCTGGGCTCTCTGTCTGTGATGGGTGGCAGAACTTCCCTATTCTTTCCTTTCCTTTGGATTTTTCCTTCCTTTCATCTCCCCTCTGTAGAACACTTCCCCATCAGCTTTGCTGATCTATTCCTGGCCCAGTTTTAAGCTTTTCAAAGTTCTGTTCTCCTTCCACAAGGTTCTGGAAATGTCCTTTCAGGTATTTTATGGGCACAAGAGTCCCCTTGGTCCCCCTTTGTGTTTCTGAGCCTTCTTTGAGGTTGTGCTGCTGGGTTCTCCCTGTCCTGGGGAGTTCCAGCTCACCTGGGTGCTCCTTTTGGGATAAATGGATCCATTTTAGGGCTTCATCTGCTGTTTTTGTGCCAAAGGAGTCTCAGTCCTTTACAGCCTTGACTTGCAGGTGTTCAGCATCTCAGTTTCAAGCCCTGCACATTTTCTGTGCTGTGAGGGTCAAACTTTTGCCAGGGCACAAGTTCAGAGTTGTGAGATAAAGAATTCCATGTTTTAAACTTTTTTACCTCTCTGCTTTTGGGTTTTCTGACAGATAGGGCCTCTGTTAAAGGGAATTTAAGATGAGAACATCACAATTTGCTGTCTTGGAATAAAACCCTGCCACAAATCACATCTGCATGTTAACAGCTCTTTTGTGCTGCTTTTGACTCCGTGCATTTCAATAAAAGCTCGGGCAGATTTTTGGGTAGCATTGAGAGCCACGTGCTCTCTGTGAAAGCAGAACACCAATCTTATACCTCAACATGAATTTTTCAAGCTTATATGAACATTTGTAATAAATATTAGGTGCTTTAAATTCAATTTTGCTACTTAGATGTATTAATATGATGTATTTTATTAATATTTCTTATTTTCTCCTTATCTGTAAGGTCAATGCTGGGTCACTTTACACTGCAATAAGGCCAGATAATCTAAATATAGAGTTAAGATGTTTGTGTCTTTTTCCTCTATAAATACATAAAGTTCTTTCTGTAAATCCATGTCAGTCTTTCTATAATTTCTAGAAAGCCATAACAGCAGAAAAAATACTAAAAACCCAATTATTTTTCTGTAAGTATATATGAAAACATTAGACAGGCTCAAACCAATGGAGATGCAGGTTTCCTTTATTTTTTTTTCCTATCAAAAGGAGCACCTCTAAAACAGTTTGGAAGCAAGAACACCACATAATTCAAGTAAATGTTCCCTGACAGATGGGTCATGTTGTAAAGGGCAGAGGTTGCATTTTAAAATCTTGCTTTTCATATTTTTTTTTTAAAAATCTGCTCAGAAATTTTGCTCTTGTAAGAAGCAGGTAGTTTTTTTGCTAGAGTTGATTCCTAGAAAAAGAACGTTTTGCATTCATTTATGCAGCACTTTTATCCCATCTCCTTTCTGTGGAGTGTAAAATGCAAAAGCAAAATTTGGGGACATTCTGGTGGTCTGGTTGACTTCTCCCTGGGCCCTGGGGTTTTAGAGAGGCCACATTGAATCTCAACAATTAACAACTCAAAAATCAACGCAGAATTTCCTCCATCCTCTCAAAGACTTCAGGTTTTGATGAGGTCTGGCAATTAATTCCTCTACTCCTAAAATTCCCTCCTCCCTTCAGACACCTCTGCTCCACCTGAATTTATCATTGTCAGATGAAAGGAACAGAAAAGAAAATTAAATGCATTTAAAATTGTGTTGTTTTCATTGGGTTCTGGAGGATTGTCTCATGATTTTAAGTCATAAACATAATTTTTTATTCAGTGTGGAACCTTGTCAGATTTAGGGACGTTTTCCAAGAGCTTGATCTAAGTTCAATCTGTTTCCTTCAGATTTTCTTCCATTGTTACAAACAATTTTTTCATCTGGAATAAAACAAAATTTTCAGCTGAAAAATGAATTATTTTATTTGATTGTGCTTAATCTACAAGGTATCTACAGGTAATTCCTTTTATGTTAATGATAATATTTTGTATTATTTGCATGCTCTGTGGTACCGTTTGTGTCAACATGGAGATCAAACTCAAAATTAACCTCACTGCTCAAGTCAAGGAATATATTTATTTTTTACCTGTTTTTTCTTAATCAGGGTTTGGGGCTTTTTTTAATTTTATTTTTTCTTTTTTTACACTGAAGGATCTTGGAAATATTACTCAGCAGCAGATCTTTGTAATTTTGCACAAGCTGGGCTAAATTTCAACCATCTGAAAAGGAAATAAAATCAGTGTTTGACTGTGGCTAGACCAGGCCATGTTTCTTTTGTGAGAAATAGAAGAGGAGGTTTGCTGTTAAAAAACCAGAATATTAATAATATTTACTTCTAAGTCATATCTAATGAAAAAAGGAGAGTGAATTCTGGTGTTACATCTGCTGAAACAGAATTACTTGCACTAGGAAACCATTTAAAACAATCAAGACACAAGTGAATCTGCTGATTTGGAAAAGGAATCTAAAAATCCAACGCAGCCCAGTTGAGATGATTAAGGTGAAACAGAGCAAAATTTATAATTCCTTCCCAAAACCCCCATTGTGCTGCAGGAGGAAGCTGCAGGGTTGGTTTCTGAGTTGCATTTGAGGCTGGTAATGAGCAGCTGAAAGTACTGAAGTTCAAAAAGGTTTTTTAATTTCTTCCCTGAGTGCTGTAAAAGTGGTTTTAGTGTGGTTCTTGTGCTGAAGGTTCAGGTGGAGCAGCAGGGGAAGAACATCCCTGCCAGCACAGCTCTGCCCTTGGGAGCAGCCTTTGCCTTGCCCTTAGGAACTCAGTGTAAACCACAGAGAACTTGGCTAAAAACTCCCTGTATTTTCATTTTCTTCCTCTCTTAGTGGCTGTTCAGGCTCATCTTTCTTCCTTTGGCTTTTGGTAGTTTTGTTATTGTTCACATGCAAGAGTAATTACTCAGCTGGTTAATGGATTCTGGTGCTCCAGTTTGTAATTTGAATACAGAAATCAACCTGGCTGTTAATTCTCTCTAGTGAGAGGTGATGAAGAAACCAAATGAAACTTCAGAGGTGGAAGAGAAGTTGCTGAACCCCCTGGTAGCTGGGTGAGGTGGAGAGGTGATGTCAAATTCCTGCCTGGTGCCATTCTTCATGGAAAATGGGAACAATTCTGCCCAGGTCCCTGGGGAGAGGAGGCTCTGCTGGCCAGGCTGAGTTCTCCTCTCTCCCACCAGCTGGGATTTCTCTGGATTGTGACTCTGGAATGTGCCCTTGGCTCTGCCCAGTGCTCCTCCCAGGTGCTCTTTCAGTAAGAAGGAGAGCTATGTCACCTTCCTTTGGTGAATATTATCTAATTGAATTTTAATTGAAATAAATAATTAGCAGATGTATATAAAGTAATTGAGAATTAACAGTTCAGAAGAGAGTGGTTCTCTTAATGCTGGTTTGCTTTTGGCAGCAATAATGTACTTGCAGTTCTAGAAGCATCCCACTGCATTTCTCTGTAGGGAAGACTGATGAATTAATATCAGGGAATTGTTTTTACTCAGTGTTCCTTAATACATTCATTATCAAATTGAAATGCTGAGAAACTCAGTTGACCCCAGTATTTTTTTAACAAGTGCTCCCTATAAGTGTGTTTAGTTCAGAACATTTAGAAATTGTGTTGAAAACTAAAAAATTGTGTTAAAATTGTTTTTTTAAAAAAATTTAAAAAAATTGTGTTAAAATTATTTAATTTAATCTGGCAGGGTGTTAATGCGAATTTAATGCCATGGCTTTGCATTATTTAATGTCATTTATTGTTTTAGTCCTTCCTGTCACCTTTAGTATTATTCTTATTCTTCAGTATTATTCTTATTCTTCAGTATTATTCATGTTCTTCAGTATTCTTATTCTTCAGTATTATTGTTATTCTTCAGTATTATTCATGTTCTTCAGTATTCTTATTCTTCAATATTATTCTTATTCTTCAGTATTATTCCTATTCTTATCCTGCAGGTTTTGGTGGCTCAGGTGAAGCTCTGAGTTCTCTATCACAAAATGCAATTGGTGTTTTCTCCTTCCATTTGTTTAGTCCGGGTTCACCAAGGATGGGTTGCTCAGAAGGAAAATTAAAAGGACAAAGAATTCTGTTGATTTATTTATTTTTTCCTTTTTTACAGATCTCTTTATTTGTCCTTTTCCTCCATTCTGCCACGTTTCATCAGCAGGCAGTGCTTGGAAAAGCAGCTCCATCCCCTCACCTTGTCACATCCCAGCAAATTCCATTTCTTGTGGTACACCCGACCTTCCCTAAACCGATCCTTACCGTCTCTGCAGGGTGTGGTACTGCAACAGGAGGGGCTGAGGATGAGGGGGAGGCCGAAGCTGGCTGGATTGAAGGTGCTGCCATCCTCCTGTCTGTCATCTGCGTGGTCCTGGTCACTGCCTTCAACGACTGGAGCAAGGAGAAGCAGTTCCGGGGGCTGCAGAGCCGCATCGAGCAGGAGCAGAAGTTCACCGTGGTGCGAGGGGGCCAGGTCATCCAGATCCCCGTGGCAGAGATCGTGGTTGGGGACATTGCACAGGTCAAATACGGTGAGTGCACGGCCTTTGGAGCCTTGGCTTGCTCTGCTGGCCCTTCTGGACATGCTTCCCTGGCAGGTTTATAGGACAAAATCAGTGTTGGCCATGCTGAGGTGACACCTGAGCTGTCAGGCCCAAAGGAGATCGTGAAGACCTGCTGTAAAGCTGCACTAGAAAATCAATTCAATTGCTGTAAACTTCTTTTCACTGGCAAGGACTGGTCAGATTTCCAGTTCCTTCCAGTTTTCTGCGTTTGTTCTTCCAGTTTTCTGCATTTGTCCTTCCAGTTTTCCGTACTTGTTCATGCAAAGGTAATTCTCTAGCACGGAGGATTACATTATTCAGGTTAATTTCTTTTTATTTCTGTCCAGTTAAGGGCAAGAGGAGGTGTTTTAAAATGTTGTGTAGAAGGGGATTGGGCCTCTGTGATCACCTCATGAGGTGCTTCAGATCCAGAATGACCCTGCAGATGAGGTGCCTGATGATTCCATGCCATAGGGAAAGCCCCGTGCTCCAGTGGAGCGAGAGACTCTTGCAGGAGCTCTGTGTGCTCTGGAGGGAGTTGTTAATTCCAGCAATATCCCCCTTCCATCAGCCATCACATTTCTCCTGGGCTTACCTAAGGGCTCCCTGAGGGGGAAGGGGAAAGGGCAGCTCAGCTATTAATTAGCTGCTCTTAATGAAGTCTGATGGAGAAACCTTCAGGTGATGTGAGGACTTCCCAGGCAAACCCCCATGATGGAGATGTCCATTGTGAGGGAAATGTGATACATTTGGATTTTGGGATAGCATGAAGCAGAAGATGTTTGCAATAAAAGGCCTTTCCTGGCTGGACTGCAGTACTGTGACTCGTGTGGACAGAATCAGGAATAATTCCTTCCCTTCTCCTTTCATTTCACCTTTTCGTGCAATTAATTGTGATTTTATAACAAAACCCATAGTGCAATTATAAAAACAATCTCATGGAGGTTTTCCACTGCCCTTTTCTGACCACAGGTGACCTTCTACCTGCTGATGGGATATTTATTCAAGGCAATGATCTCAAAATCGATGAGAGCTCCTTGACTGGAGAGTCCGACCAGGTCCGCAAATCCGTGGACAAAGACCCAATGCTGCTGTCAGGTAAGATCTGCCCCTCTGTGCAAACCCAGGGCCCTGGGAATATTTCTCTGTCTGCTCTGGGGTGTCCTGACCCCCAGGGGAGCTCTAACTTTGACCCTCATTCATGGAGAAAGTTTCCCAGACTTCAGGATAGACTGGAATCCACAAAAGTGTGAAATAGATTATAGAGAGTAGTGTAGTTATATCACTTGGTGAGAAATTCAGTTTTGGGATTTTTAGTGTGTTATGGATGGCAGCAAGATGGAGGGCACAGGGTGTCACCCTGGGTTTCTTCTTCATGCTTCTTCTTCCTCCTTCTCCATGGGTTTGGGTGGCATTTTGGAATTGGGCAGAAAAGTCTGCATTGCAGCTCTGTGGGATCAGTTCTTGGGTTAAAAGGGAAAATAATCCAGGTGTCAGTTCTTAATTGGATAGCTTAGTCTGAAAAGACCTGGTAACAAGAGACTGTTGGCCATTTTGTGCCTTCTAATGAAAAGCTGCAGAACTCCCAGTAGTGAGACTGTTTTACTGATAAGAAATAGTAAACACTTGAGTCTGAACACGAATTACTGTCTCAAGTGCCTTCAGTCCAGAGCCAGGGAAACCCACAACTCATCCCATCCCATCCCATCCCATCCCATCCCATCCCATCCCATCCCATCCCATCCCATCCCATCCCCTCTGCCTGCTCTGCCCTCTCCAGGTGTGCAGAGCTCAGCCCATTTGCCTGCCAAAGCTGCCCTGGGAGCCTAGGAGCCAAGGGCACTTTTTGGAGGATATTTTTATCCACCTTTGTCATGAAATTCAGGAGAAGATTCCCTCAGAACAAAACACAGGGATACAATTAGCAAGTTCTTAATTGAAAGGTATTTGGAAATAGTGACACATCCTAAAGGAGGCTCTGATAAATTTCTGAGGAAGGTTGCAGTGCTTTTCCTTTCCAACTGAACCAACCAAGTCTCTGCTGGCTTTGAAAGATATTTTCTTTAGATCATTTCTAAAGATATGATCTTTAGGTTTGTATGGAATTTATTTGTTTTGGGTTTTTTGGACCTAATTTGTGTATTTGTGATGTCTTGCTGAAACTGTTTTCTTGCAGAAGATAAACTTGATCAATGACAGTATTTCCTTTAAAAAGAGAATCTGATGATGATGCATGTGCAGCCTGAGGTTTGTGCTTAAGCATTAATTCTTGGTTGAGACTAATGCACAACAGGGTTTATTTTGGTTATGTGGTACTATCCCCCTAAATATAGGTTTATAAAGTGTAGCAAATCCCTCTCAATACTTTCAGAAGGCCTTGCATAATTTTTGACATTTATTTTAGCTCTCTGTAACCTGTTTTGCCTCTTTTCAGGCACCCATGTGATGGAAGGCTCTGGGCGGATGCTGGTGACTGCTGTGGGGGTGAATTCTCAGACTGGCATCATCTTCACTCTGCTGGGAGCTGGGGGAGAAGAGGAGGAGAAGAAAGACAAGAAAGGTAAATTTCCCAACACCAGGATGCTCCAGAGAAAGCTCCTGGGCTTTGTGCAGCCAGAGCTCTCCTTGGCTCTTGACAAATGAATGGGATTTTTCAAACTGCCTTTCTTTTTTTAATGACACATTTTTATCATCACATGTCACACAGAAAAACAGCAGAAGCTGTTAACCAATAAATCCATTGGATAACAAGATGTTTTTCCAGTGTGAAACTGCAGGCTCCCAGTCCATACTGAAATGCAAGGGGGATACCTGGGCATGCTCCAGTTGCTGTGGCTTCTCTACATGAATCCATGCTCACCTACAGTTTGCTAAGATTTTGTGCTTTTCTATCAATTCAATATTTTTTCCCCAGGAAAAAAACCCTTTGGCCATGGAAATAGCATCTGTCTTGGAGCTTCAGGACTAAGATAAAGATAAGCTGTGGCTCTTTGCTAGCCTGGTTGTTTAATGTCAGTGACTGACTTGAGAGGCATTTTAATTTCTTCAGGTGTAAAGGTCGAGCTAAGAATAGTAAAAGCCAAGAATGTAGCAGTAAATGTTAGCAGACAGTTTTACTTTCATGTCCTGCATCAGTTAATGAAATCAAGAAGGCTCTTTGGGCTTTTCACCTTATTACAGTGTGATGTCATAAGCATTTGCTAATTTACGGGCTGCACACTAAGCAGAAACATGATTTAATGTCTGTCCTTGCCAGTTTTTCTTCATGAAGTCTTGTAAATTGTTCTGCTTCCACAATTTCATTCCAAGTCCTAAGAACAGTTGTCTTTCAGACATGATTAAGGGCCAATTAATACAGGTCTTTCAGACATTTCTGCTCTTTCTAGTGGTGTTCACTATTAATTAAAAAAAGCAGTTAAAGCTTTACTGAACATTTTATTTGCTATCTCTCAGGCAATATGATTCCACCTTTTTTTGTTTCCATCATTTTACATGAAGCTGCAGATAGGAAGGCCAAATTCAAATGGTTTCCAGGACCTACAATTTCCATCTCTGAGTGTGTTCAACAAGTGTCTGCCTTTGACTCTCTGCTGCTTTGAGGAACTCCCTTTTTACTGAATGAAATGTTTACCATTTCATTTCTGCACAGAAATGCACAACAGCTGCCAGGCATGGGTGGGGGGTTCCAGGAGAATTGAAAGGAGAAAAGACTGAAACTTGACAAAGCAAACCTCTTTTGTAGCAGACCAGTTTGGAGCAGCACCTTGGAGGTTGCTCTTGCTGTCGTTCAGACCTGGGGGAGAGGAGGAGCAGCTTCCCCCCTGTGTGATGGAGAGCTCCCTGGGCTGGGTTTAACTGGGCTGGCCTCCCTGGGCTGGGTTTAACTGGGCTGGCCTCCCTGGGCTCTGCTCAGGCACTGCTGGCTCTCTCAGGTTGCACAGGGAAGGCTCTGGAAAGGCAGGAAAAGAGAAATCAGGGAGTTTTCCCCACACTGTGACTGTAACTTAGCCAGAGGTTCTTACAGAGGTGTGCTAGAATTTGGACGCAGAGAGAATTTAATTGAACATGGCTCTGTAGAAACAGCTATAATATAAAGAATCCATAATATAGAGAATCCCTCCACATTTTCTGATGCAGCTTTGTGCTCGTGCCTGGGCAGAGCTGGTGGCAGAGGGAGTCACCAACTCAGATGAAAACCTCTGGAACATAAACCTGCAGTTCTCAGAAACCCTGCCCCTTTCAGTCTGTGTGGGTGTGTGCTTTTATTGTTCATTAACACTTTAAAAATCATCATGCAGGTGTGAAACAGGAGGAGGAGCAGCAGCTTCCAGGTAGAGTAAGAATTTACCCCATCCAGTGATGCAAATCAGGGGGGAACTGCTGATTGAAATAATCATCTTCGAATCAGTCAAGTTGAAATTGAGAAATGATTTCAAATCAACAAGATTGCTGGTGCCAAACCTTTTGGTGAGCAGGCATTGTTGGTGTTGCAAATCTTCCCGTTCAGCTGGAAGAATCAGCTGTTTTCCAGGAGTAAATTGCAAAGTATTTCATGTGGAATACTTGATTTGCTGTGAGCAGCTCACGCTGTGCTGGTTGGGGTGGGGATCCAAACAGAATAGAGAGCAAGCACGAGTCACCAAAACAGTTTAAGTCGTTGCCACCACAGTAATCAAATTTGCAATTGAAATTTTCCTCAATGCAGTTGCACAGGGTGTGTTTTTAAATCCTGGGAGCTGTTTATTTTCTTCTCCCAATTTGCCATTTGTAAATAAAATCAGCCCATTCTTCTGCAGTACCAACCCAGTACAGCCTGAAATAATCCCTGTGGGGCAAGGACTGGAGCAGTTTGAGGTCTCAGTCAGGATCCATGGGAGGACTTGGTTCTGTTGTGAGCAATTAACCATCAGAAACAAAACAAAATAAATTTTAGCTATTATTTGCAGAGACTAATTTTATTGATCTTCACTATAAAAAACATAATAAAATGATAAAACCTTTTTCAAGCTTTTCAATTTCCTGTTAGGAAAGATTTCTTGTCCAGTTTTCTCTAATATGTGGATAATACCTGAAAAGAAGAAGAGGTTTTCTTTTCTGATTCTTCTTTCATGTCATCACAAACCAGGAAATGTCTCATGTCCGTTATCTGGATTTAAAATTATTCTCCTCAAGACTATATTTGCCTTTTCCACATAAAATATAGGAAAATTCCATGTTTCTACTCAGATCAACGTGCATTTTACCTGGGTGATGGCAGGACATGGACTGAGCCCTGTTAGACTGCGATGCATCAGTGATGATAAATCATGATGGGCAAAATTGTTTAAAACATAAACTATGTACCATTGCACTATGTAGAAGTATGTGCAGGTACAGATATAATGCATTTTTAAATGCAAATTTTAAAGCTACACTAACACTGTGTAAATTAACTCCAAAGGAAACATTTCAACCACTTTAAAAATGCATAAATTACATTAAGGTACAACAAATAACACATAAAAGGACTGAAGCAATGTACACAGGACTGTGTACAGCCAGTTCTCACCAGCTCCTTTAACTTTGCTAAATGTGTTTCATATTTATCTTTTGTTATTATTATTATTATTATTGTTATTATTATTTGAGTTTTCAGCTTACTTTGTGACACTTTCCCAATTGCTTTGGAAATTTGTGTTAATTAATTTCAAACTCTTTGATTTTGGGAGCAAACAAAGCCACGAAGGCTTTTCGCTCTGTCACGTGCATTCGTTCGTGTTGCTGTTCTAATTTATTTATTATTTGCTGTTTTGTTGTTGTGCTTTTTTGTTTATTTATATTTTTTTTTATCCATTATTGCTCAGTAGATTCTTCCCATCCCTCCTCCCACCCTCCTCCAGCCACAGATGGTGCAGCAGGTGCAAATGCCACTGATAATGCAAATGCCAGCTTAGTCAATGGTACGTCACAACCCCCGGCTTGTCTGATTTGATGGATTTCTCTCCTGACTGTGTCAAATTCCCTCTCCCCTCACTGACCTGCACAGATGTTGTGTTTGTGTGACTGCACTCTGAGAGATCCTGCTCCACAGGCTCTGCAGGAGCCTGGCAGAGGGGCCACAGGGATGCTGCAGCTTCATTCCCCCAGACTGCAGCCTGGCAGAGGCAGGGTTTGGAATCGTGATTCATTTGCCATTCAAGCTGCAGTTAAAAGAAACAGATATGTCAGGCTGGTTTCAAAACTTTCAGGCAGATTCCCCTGATGTTTTATCATCAAGTTTCATTTTTCAGCATAGACCTGGAGAAGAGCACCATGAGAAAGGGGTTATCTCTGCTTCTCCTCTTTTTCACTCTCCTAATTCCTCACACAATTCTAAGAGAGGGCTGGGATCAGGGATCTGCCCCATTTCAACCAACACCGTGCTAGGAACAGCTTTGCTGTTTTCAGCATCTGTTTCAGGAGGGACCAAGAAGTTTTGTGGATATTTGTGTGAGCCCTCAGTGACTTTCCCCTGAGCCTGCCTGTGTAAACTGAACCCAAAGCAAACCTTTCCTGCAGCCAGTTTTGACTGTGTCCCAATACAGATTCCTGACCCTGCTTGTCAGCACGCAGATATCTCAGTGTCTCTCCTAACAGTGAAATTCCAGTGTTAAATTGGATTGAATGGGTCAATATTGGTGTAGGCATCAGCTGTATTTTGCTGCTAATCAGATGCATGAGCCTTTATTTGCCAAGCAACCTTTCCTTCTTGTGCAGAGCCAAAAATACTGTGTAAAGTCATTCTACTTTTCGTCATGTTGGTGAAAGTTTTTTTCCATGCAGGTTGCATTTCACATGTGAAATGAGAGTTTCTGACAGCAATATCAAGTGCTAAACAAGGAACAGGATTTACTGCTGTAGGATCTTATTTAAGACAGTGACACAGGAAATCTTTAAGCCTATTTTCAAATCATTTAAAAGAAACATATAACCAGATTTAAAACCCATTCTGGAAAACTAGGATTTACAATCCCTACATCTCCTTGCATGGCAGGGACCTCCATCCTCCTGGTTCCAGATTCCCTAGAGAGCAAGAACCAGGGAATGAATTATAAGTGTTTGATTCTCCATTGCCGTGAGGGTGCTGAGGTCCTGACTCTGAGCAGCTGTGGCTGCCCCTGGATCCCTGGAATGTCCAAGGCCAGGTTGGACACTGGGACTTGGAGCAGCCTGGGACAGTGGAAGGTGTCCCTGCCATGGCAAGGGTGGCACTGGATGAGCTTTAAGGCTCCAACCCAACCCATTCTGTGATGGTTCTGTGCTAATTCCCCTTTGAGGAGTGTAAAATCCCTGCCAGCTGCAGAGGAGGGATGGGAGCAGAGTTCAGCCCCTCTTTGCTGCTGCCCAGCAGGTGCAGAACGAGCCCTGGGCCCTGCTCAGAGCTGGGGCTGCCTGGTAAATCCCTGTTGTGTTTGAGCTTAATGCTGAGCTTAATGAGGAAATTGAGTTCCAGGGGATATTAGATCAGTGTCGGAATTAGGGATGTGATTTTCCATCATCCTCCCTCCACTCAGGAACAGCAGTTACTGCCCATGTTTATCCTGGAGCTGAGGGATACAAACTCAGGGCTTTGCAGTGTGGAGTGAATTATTTTGTGCAGTTAAGGATGTTTTGGATTTGAGTTCCTCTGAGAGGGGGCAGGTCAATAATTCTGCTGCTCTTTGATCAACAAGGGCAGGAGAGGCTTTCCACAATTCAACTGCTCAGAGAACTCAGGCAGGCAAACAGAGCTCTGAGTGCTTTGGAATGATCTGGGAAATGGGCAATGCCAGATTTCTGGTAATTTCTCAGTTAGCACTATTGATTATGATGAGTTAAATACTGAAAATGTAGATATGGTTTGGAGGGGAGAAAGGAAGGACAGGATAAGTTACAGAGCAAGGACCCCAAATTCATCTGCATATTCCTTTGGTCTGGATGAAATGAATATTTTTTTAAAGCCTGAAAATTCTTCCTGAGGTGTGACTGGAAAGAAGAATTTTACCTACAGTCTTTGTGTAGAAAGTATCTTAAAATAAGAGTTAATAATGATATACTTGAATAAGTAGCAAGCTCAGGAAATGTTGTTGCTTGAAAAATCAACCAATTCCATTTCAGATAAAAGATTTTCATTCTTAGTTGTCAATAAACAACTAAGAATGAATTGTAAACAATTCAATTGTAAACAATTGACACAAAAGAAAGAGTTCGTTGTCAGCCTGTGAGGCTGTAGTGATAAATTCATTTACTTTGTGACCCAGCCTGTGTCTTATGTGCTGTACCAAAGGAACTCTTATGAATTCCTATAAATGTTGGGTTTTAGGAATTTAGATCAAAATAGAGAATTGTTACTGAACTCCTTGTCAGAACTATGGACAATACATTCAGTTTTTGAAAGGTTGCAAGGGAAGGCCATAAACAGAGCAGAAAATTTGGCAGAAATTTAGTAATTCAGGAAAACTCATCTCATTCCAAAGTATTATATTTAGTAAAGGTAACTTGAAAAAATGAAAATCAGGGAAGCAGCAATCACTGTTTACAGCTTGTTTACCCCAAATTTGATTTCCTTCTAGTAGCTCAAATTACCCCAAATTTGATTTCCTTCCAGTAGAGCACTGCCACCTTCCTAAATCTGGATTTCCAGGGTGGCTTGTTGGGGTTTTTTGGCATTTGTAAGCTAGAGAATTTGCTACTTAAATGTGTGTTCAGAAAATATAGAAAAGGTATAGAAATGGCTGACCAGACTCAGAGAAATCTCTGCTGGAATATTTCACATCTGCAGCTAATCCCAGTGTAGGTACTGAGCTACTGCTGCTCCTGCAAAGCAATTTGCTGTCTGAGCTCTTTAAAAAATATTATTTTTCTATTTTAAATACATTTTTTGTTTCTATTTTAATAAATTTCTGAATTTTAAGTGAAGTTATTTATTGAATGCTTAGAAAGATTATCTAAAACTTCCTGTTTAATGCAGTGGTTCCCTCTCAGCACTTGGAACACAATTCCATTATTTTCTTTGGTTGCTTCCAAGCACTTCTTCCAGTTTAGAAATAATTTCCAAATGAGGGAAATAATTTCCAAAATAGTGATAGGACTTTGTTATTCTGTGTCATTGGCTCTTCCTCAAGGGCTACAGCAGATAAAGGGGAGGCTTTTCTTGGGAATTTTGTGTGGTGAAATCCATGACTTTTATAGTAAGAATTTAGTCAGTAAAGGTGCCACGAGTCCTTTCCAAAATACAGGAATTGTAGTGAAGCAAAGGCATGTGAAAAATATTTATATTTAAATTCAGAACTTTCAAATCAGCTGCAGAATGCAGATGTTAGAAATGCTATTCTAAACTTTGATTTTTCATCCTTGCTTAGAAAAGCAATAAAAAACTCAGATGGATTTCTCCAGCCCAAACAACATTTATTTATCATTCTAAACAGAAAAGAAGAAAATATTTTCAGAATGATGTAAAAAAAAAAATACTGTATTTTTAAAGAATTATTTCACATGATGCCATCAAAATATTAATAAATGCTCCATGTTTGGACAATTCTAAATGATGCACCAAGGAGAGAAGGAGGGGGAGTATTTGTACCTGGAAGGAGGAAGGATCTCTCAGCAGTGGGGATTCTATCACTTTTCTTTCTGCCTTCGTTTCCTTGTTCATATTTTATACCAAAATTCAGCCTTAAAATTATTTAAAATTATTACAGGAGGATATAAATAGTTTACAGCTTCCTTTTCTTCATCTTGATTACTCAAATTACCTTCTCTTTGTTGTTCTGTCTAAATAACTGAACTCTAACTACCTCTGATGACTTCCCCCACTCAATAATCTGAATGCAGTAGATTAAGAATATTAAGAATGTATTTTTTAAATACCTGAGCATAAACTGTTGTTTATGATTGTTTATTTTGTATAATGTTATTTTCAGGTAGCCAATCAATTGTTGGATTAATTTATTATCATAATTATGCTATCAAATAGCAAATATATGTCCTAAAAGTACATATTTGAATTAAGAAAAAAATCTCTGTGATGGGTCTGCCAGCTGGGACAGTCACATTTGGGTTTTGTTGGTGATTTTTATCCTTTTGAAAGTTGAATATTGTTCCATTTTTTTGCCAGTCCAAGGTTTGGAATTGCACTCTGCAAAAAGGATCTCCAGAGCAGGAAATGGAGCAGACTGCCTGCTCTAAATTAATGCCTTCCAGTTCTTGGGGAAGGCTTTCTGCTCCAGCCAGAAATCCCAATCTCCAGAGACATTTTGTGTCTTCCAGTAACTTTATTAAAAGCTCTTCTAAGAAAAACAGCCCCCAGGCAGGTACTGAGTCCAACTGTGCCCCCCGGGCCAAGGTTTTACAGGGAATTTCCCTGTGGAAAGGAGCTTGCTTTGCTCAGGTTCATGGATCCCTCTTGTGCAAAGTGTAAAGCTCTGGAAGGTGGATTCTGAATTTTTAAAAGTGCTGTTATTGCTGGGCTAGGAATAGAATTAGAAATGCAGACATGCAGCGGATGGTTCATTGCAGTAATTCACCTGAGCTCTGAGATGATTTTAGGACATGAGAGCCTTTCCCTGGCTCTGCTTCTGGGCTTTGGAATTTCCCAGTGTGGCACTGGGGCCTTTTTTTGACAAATACAGCACTGACTTGGTCACCTTTGCTCTCCCACTTAGTGCAAAGACCAACATGCAAGAGATGCATCTTAGCTTTTCCATTTTCTTATGATTTATTCACAGCAGAGTGAAAAAATTAATCCACACAGCAGTCAGAAGAACAAGATGTACCTGCTGGCACATTTTTTAATAAATTCTGATGGCACATTTCTTATTAGAATGTGTCAACAATCCTGTAATGGTACTTTAACTTAATTTTCCTTAGCATCATTTTTTATTGTGCATTTTACATAACTACCAACAGGCATTGTCATCCATTCTGAGATAATATTTGTTGTAGCCTTTTCCATAAATTCATATAATTACCGTGAAAGTTTTGTAAGGGATCCCACCAAGAAATTTTGAATCCATTTGAAAATATTTAGCTGTTATTCTGAATCCCAAAGTTTTGTATCTGATTGGTATATTTTGCCATTTTTATCTCATGCACACTTTCGAATGACATTTCCACTTGTAAAAGGCACAAGGGAATAAGGACTTTGCTGTGGTAAAACTTTTGGTGGATAAAATGTCAAGCTGGAAATTAAAGAGGCACATGGTAAATCTATGTTCAGGATAAATCTGAATTTAGGTCACCTGGCACTTGTATTTCCAGGAGAAATTTGCTAATTAATACAACCAAGTGAGGAAGATGTAATTTAAAAATCCTATCTGATTTACATTTTTTATTTATTAATTTAGATTTATTAACACCATTGTTTCTATTTTTTCTCAATTTAGTAACATGATTAATTTAATTCTGGAATATGTTAAGAAAGCCATACTCTATACTGTTGTGTGCCAGAATTTTTAAGTCCCAGCCCTCTGAAACATCAGCTCAGGAATATTATTCCAATCCATTTTCCCACCAGATCTACTTTATTAGTTTCCCCCTCTGAATTTGTGCAGACTCCTCAAAAAGACATGCTGATATCCAGCATTTAAGGTGTTCCAGCCCTGAGCTTGGCTGGAATTCCTTGGCCCCTCTGTGAGTGCAGGTGTGAGGGTGCCCAGGTGCCCGTGGTGTGCTCATGGCTTTTGTCTCCCATTTTTATAAATCCCCATTTTCGTGTTCTGTCTCGGCTGAAGGTTGTTTACTGTCTGTTGTCTGTTGGAATTTTTCATCATTTAGGCAAGATGCAGGATGGGAATATGGAGAACAACCAGAACAAAGGTAATCTTCTTTGCTCTTCAGGAGGTTGTGGATTGTATTGTTAGCATGTAGTTCAACCCTGTCCCAAAGTACAGTGAGAACCTGTGGTCTGTGCCTGTGTGTGAAACTGGCCCTAATTGTTCATGCAGAATGTCCAAAAAAATCCCCAAACAGCCAACCCCAGCCCAAGAGATTGTAATTCCCACAAGCTGCAGAGGTTTAGGAGAGGAGCCTTTTAAAGGGACCATTTATAGATGTTGCTTTCATCTCACAAAGCTCATTTGAATTAATTGTTCCTGTGCAAGTTGTGTATCCTGTGTGTTTGTTAGTGATTTGTTTGTTAGTTTTCCAGCCCAGTTTTTTTATGTCTCATCATCTCTGGTGTCTGATGGCATTGTCTGGACATCTCTTCATTTGTAGGGGAAAGGCAAAGCAATAAAAAAAGGAAACCTTAAAGCCCAGGTGTTATCTAGCAGTGCAAAAGCCTTTTGTAAGGATAAACAACAGGAAGATTGAGAGTCCTAGGTGTTTCTTATTTAATATACAATGTCAGGAAGAAATTGGAATCAATATTTTGCTTTCTCTGAAGCAAAGTTATGGTTCCCTTTTTATTATAAGACACAGCTATCAAGAGCTCTTTGGGTTATACCAAATTAAATGACAATTTTCTCTTCTCAGATCATATTGAACATTGCAAAGGTGATGGCTCAGAAACTGGATAGAGGAACTCAGTGGTTCATGGTACAAAAGTACCAAATAAAATGCTATTAAATAATAAGCATTCAGGCTAGGTAGATAAATTAGATTTCCAGGTCAAACAAGCACGGTCTTGTACAATCTCTTCACGAAAGCAAAGCTGTTTCATCTCATCCTATTTTATTTATTGTGCTCAGACACATGCACATATATCCACTGCAATGTCATTGCTTTTCAGAAACAGTAAAAATAAAGTTTCCTTCTGCTGGCATTCTGTCAGGAAAGGAGGGATCAGCCCTGAAACTGTGTGTGGGTTTTGTGGGGGAATGGTGATGCCAACACCATCAGACCCGCAGGCTGAGCACCTTGATCCCAGAATGCTGAGGAAACTTTATAACTGAGGGATTTTCTGAAATGGTGGATGGCAGAGGGTGGTCCCCTGCTCACTGAGGTGCCCCTGCAGCCCAGAGAGGTGACACACAGGCCACCTGTGCAACCACATTGCCTTCAAAATATTTGCCTTGGAAACGTGCCTTGCATTCTAAGAGGCATCCCAGACTCCAGAGGAATGTGGGTCTGTCAAAGCACCCGAGCTCTGCCGCTGCAGGGAATGCTGCAGTGCTGGTGCTGTCACCTGCCAAGTCACCTGCAAGACATTCAGTGACATACATGTGTATGGCCCAGAGCATCGTGGGTGGGGGTAAAGATGAGGGTTAAACCCAATCAGTGCTTTCCAGCCCAAACCCCCACGTGTCCTGAGGGATGTGCTGGCACAGCTGTGTCCTGCAGGGCCCCGCTGGCTCTCCAGGCAGCCAAGGGTGTCCCTGGCACAGATTGTCCCAGGCAGCCCCCGTGATGCTGGCTGGGTTCAGAGAGGATGAGCACAGAGGGAAGGAAGGGCTGAAGCTCTGGAGTAACAGTTTTGTTCTGCATTATCAGCCAAGCAGCAGGACGGGGCTGCTGCCATGGAGATGCAGCCGCTGAAGAGCGCGGAAGGGGGAGAGGGAGACGACAAGGACAAGAAGAAATCCAACATGCACAAGAAGGAAAAATCCGTCCTGCAGGGCAAGCTGACCAAGCTGGCAGTGCAGATTGGCAAAGCAGGTATGGCTGGGTGGCAAAAAACCCCTCTGGGTCCCAGGAGGCAAAGAGTTGCAAAGCAAATGGTTCTGAAAAGAGGCCCTTTTTTTTACTGCAAGATTTGGAAATGGGTCATCACAAAGCTGTTCTAAGGAGAGTATGTGGTGCTGAAGATCTTTTATTATTCTCCTAAAAATCAGCTTTGACTGTCAAGGAGCTTTGGGCAACTTGGATTGTAATGAATATTTGAATCAAAATGAAATGCAGCTTTTCTCAGAGTTAATATTCCCAAGTGCAGTAATTACGTATTTAATTTCCTCTCCCCTCAGAACTTGAGAGTGCACAGTTTCAGAATCTCTAATACCATCTCAAAATATCACTCACACAATATTTCCCTCTCATGGATTCTGAAGTCATTCTGTTCCCCCCAAATATCCACATTGCTGCCTTCTCCCCAAGCATGACACATCTCTGGGCTCCTGTACCCAGAACCGTCTGGCCCCTGGGTTGGAAGCAGCACTTCTCCAACATGTGGGCAGAGAGTGGAAACCTTCCAGAAGGGCCTAAAGTTCCTTAGATTTCCTTTTCTCATGGTAATAAAGAGATTTTGATCTTCTAAAAGGGATTTTGATCTCAGCTCCTTGGTGGAGGCCCTCCAAGATCCCTTTACTTCTGCTCCATCTCCCTCAGCCTTCTCCCCCAGTTTGGATTTTCCCCTTCTCATCCCTCTGTGAGCTCATCACAGGAGCTGATCACATAACCCCACAATGGCAATTCCCTTTGCCTGACCAGAGTATGACCAAATCCAGGATTATCATCCCTGGTATCCAATTTCATGCCTTGCCCCAGTTCATATGCCTCCAACTCCTCTCCTTTGTTTCCCCTGATGATTAATTCCTTGGATTAAACCTTTTTGCTCTGCCTTGACTTCTGCTCTGGCACGTGAACATCACTCTTGAAGTAACTGTGTAGGGATTTCTGACCAGAATGTGGCAAGGAACAGGAATTAAATTAATTATCATTGCCTCATTTGGTTTTTCTTTGGTGTTGAGCAGCCTATGGGGATGTCTTGTGTTGTCAGGAGTATTTGCCTGTGCGATATTTTAATAGATTTTCCTTTATCCTCTGGCACAGAGTGATCTTCCTGACTCATCTGTTTCCTGTCAACCTTAGCACCCTTCAGCTTTACCAATTTTTTAAAAACTGCAGTCAAGACATGAAATTCACAGCATTCTCCTTCTCCTCTCTGATCTCATTAGGGAGAAATTAATTTATTCCAAAATGCAGGCTTAATTCCCTCACACAAACCTGCCAAACAGGGCTGTCAGAGCAAGGCAAAGCTGAGGCTATAGTGGAAATTTTATTTGTATACTCAAACCCAGGGAGTGCTATCCCAGCAGTCTGTGCCATTGGGAGAGTGGAGAGAATGCTTGGGACATTTTGTCAATTCTGTGAAATATTTATTGGTGGCTCTGTCTCTTTGGAACCTCTGCTTATGAAAATACACACTCTGCAGATGTTCCCTTGAAAAGGGACACCTTGGAAACACCAGTATTAGTTCCATTTTAAAGAAACCCAGTGAAAAACTGTCCTGTGGCTAATTCTGCATTATTGCCTCCTTATATTCACCCAGACCCATATGTAGGGCTTGTTGTAGAAAAAAAAAATTTATACAGCAACATGGGAGGCTCCTTTGCTCAAGCCTCTCAAGATATACTTACTTAGAAAAAAGGTGTTTAAATATGGATAGACAGGTAATTTGTAAAAGGTGGGGGTTAAAAGGACAGATAAATGTTGTACCAGGCAAAGTAATGTGCTAAATTGAATAAGCTTAGCTTCAGTGACAGCAGAGCTCCTGCACTGCCTGGGAAGTTGTAAAGGCAGCAGTAAGTGCTTAAAAATGAATTCCCTAGAATTCCTTGTGCGCTGTAAATATATTATGGCAATATTTTTTCTTCATTGTACAGTTTATCATTGTTATTGGTACTGGTGAAAAATGTCACAAAGAAAGAAAGAAAGAAAGAATTTCCTATCAAATCCCAATTTCTAATTGCTTGTGTTCTCAGAGCTGTTTGGGTTTATGGTAACTGGTGATTTCTCCTCCCAGGTCTGGTGATGTCTGCCATCACTGTCATCATCTTGGTACTGTATTTTGCCATTGACACCTTTGTGGTCAACAAGAAGCAGTGGTTGCCTGAGTGCACTCCTGTCTACGTTCAGTATTTTGTTAAATTCTTCATTATTGGTGTTACTGTGCTCGTGGTTGCTGTTCCTGAGGGACTCCCACTTGCTGTCACTATTTCTCTGGCTTATTCTGTAAAGGTAAGAGACATTCAAAATAATCCAGGGAGAAAAGTGCTGTTTGCTTGGGTTCACCACTGAGTTGGTCCTCAGGTTTTTTCAGATGGGATGAAAAATGGTCTGAAAATGATGTGCTCAAAATGTTCATGAAATTGCTTTAAAGAACACTTATATTGAAAGTATTTCTAACAAAAATGCAAATACATCTTCCAGCACAACTCCTTAAAACTGCACAGTGCAGGAATATCAAGCAGTAGAAATACCTACTTAATTTGCAAGGAACCAGGAATTTATTGAGCAGAATGTACCCTGAAAATAGTCCAGTCTTTTGATATAGAATAATTTTGTATTCAAATTTTCTTGTGCAACTATACAAAGTTTTGACAAGGATTTGAAGTCTTCAGGAACGCTTCTCAGAGAAATTGGAGCTTCTCAAAGAAATTAAGAGTTTCACTGAAGCTTTCATGTACTTTTCTTAAATGCAGTTGCAGTTCTTTGAAGTCAATGTAAATGGTTCTATTAGGAAATTAAAGAGGATTAACATCCTGGACTTCAGGATTACTTGAGCAATTTAATTAGATGATTTAAACGTTCTGGGAATCTTAGATGAAGATGGTGTAAAGTTGATTTCCATTTAGCATGTAAACAAATTAACTTAGGAAGTTTAGGAAGGAATCTCTTGGCTTCTATGTAGCCAAATATCACAATTATTAAAAAAAGGAGCAAGTCTCCAAGATGGGGTTTTGCTAATGAAGAGTGTAGCTGCTTTGAAAATGTTTTCTCATTCTCCTAGGTCCTTCCTTTGACACCCTTTCTCTTTTGCTTTTACCCCAAAACGTGTGGTCCCTCTGTGTGCTGCCAGATAACATCCTGGCATTCCAAGCAGTGTTAAGAAAAAATCCCAAATGTTTGCTCTAACAATAATGTTTAAAAAATGCTGTTGTCTCTGGCTCCTTTGGCTCATCTTTGCTGTTCCAGCTATTCCTTAAAATGCAAACCTACTGCAGGAAAATGGTGCAACTCTTTTAAAAGTTTATCAAAGGCAAAATTATCTCAGGGATAGGCACAGCTTGGTTGTCTGTAAATGGGATTTGGGGTTATTGGCCCTCACCAATGCTCTGCTTTAGGAAACTTCAAATTCTCATCAGCAGGACTAACCATGGGCTGATTTCCTTTCTGAGACTAAAGACCTGTCAAAGTCGACATTGAAGGGTTTCTTACTTGGGTTTTGGTGGGTTTTCCCCTCAGAAAATGATGAGGGATAACGACCTGTTCCAGCTATTCCTTAAAACGCAAACCTTCTGCAGGAAAACGATGCAACTCTTTTAAAAGTTATCAAATGCAAAATTACCCCAGGGGTAGGTACAGCTTTGCTGTCTGTAACTGGGATTTGGGCTTATTGGCCCCCTCCAAAGCTCTGCTTTAGGAAACGCTCTCACCAGCAAGACCAACTGTGGGCTGCATTGCTTTTTACCACTAAAATCCTGTCAAGGCCGACATCAAAGGGTTCCTTACTTGGCTTTTGGTGGGTTTTCCCCTCAGAAAATGATGAGGGACAACAACCTGGTGCGGCACCTGGACGCCTGCGAGACCATGGGCAACGCCACGGCCATCTGCTCGGACAAGACGGGCACGCTGACCACCAACCGCATGACCGTGGTGCAGGCCTACGTGGGCGACGTCCACTACAAGGAGATCCCCGACCCCGACTCCATCCCTGCCAAAACCATGGAGCTCCTGGTCAATGCAATTGCTATCAACAGTGCTTACACTACCAAAATTCTGGTGAGTAGGTGTTGGGTTTTTTTGGGGCGGTTCAGTGAGGCCTAGCAGCGCTGCCTTGTGAGGGCTGACCTGGAACAGAGGCTGGGCAGAGCTAAAAAATAAAGCAAGGATTTATTAAAAGGATCTCCTCAATGGACCCACCTTGGGCAGCACCAGAGCCCAGCCAGGACTGCACCCAAGATGAACCAAAATGGCCCCAAAATGCACAACCAGGCATGGGGTCCTCCCTTTGATCAGTTCTGCTCCATTTGCACCTTGCAGTTCATTGTCCCATTCCAGCTTTAGGTTATGAATCCCATCCTTCTTGTTTTTCTCTCTTCAGCCAACGTTGTTTGTGCTCTTGGGCCTTAGATTTGGATCATTTGTCCTTGGTCCCCAGCTAGAGAAGGAGTTGTTTTGTCTTCCTACTTACTATTTTCTTATATAAAGCCCAGACCTGTGGATTATTTGTTTGTATTTTCTACTTTTATTAAGGTTGGGATTGAAGGCACAGTATTTTATGTTTGGACATAGGTGTTCATTATTTATCAGTGAAACAGTCTTACAACGATGAGTTTGGTAGCTTTTTATTAGTAAGGGACAAAATGCCTTACTAATTACTTACAATATTTTGTTACAAGGTCTTTTAAGACTAAACTATCTAATTAAGAAATGACACTTAGATTATTTTCTTTTTTAACTTAATAACTGATCTTTTGAAGCTTGCAATGCAGACTTTTCTGTTTAATTATAAAATATTACTTAAACTCGTGAAGAAGAAGGAAGAAGGTGAAGAACAACTTCTGCTCTAAAACTTCTATCTTGCTTCATATTTATTTTTATATTCTAAAACTCTAAGTTTGCTACTTTGTGATATTACACACTTTTAAGTAACTACACACTTGTAATCTTAGTGCTATTATTTAATTTTGGAAGTCTTTTCTACAGCTTCAGGTTAAATGTAGTGTTCTCTTGCTAGTCTGTGCCTTTCAGCACAGAAAGTTTAAAATTTTCAGCATCTAGGATTCTAACCCAGACCCACAAACAAAAGCAGCACAGAATCTGAAAAATATAAAAGCTAAAACCTGAGGCATCAGCAGAAGGAGGTGTAATTTTCTTTTTTTTGAGAAGTGTTAATTCTTTAATATCTTGTTGTTGATTATGAGGCATTAAGTACTGTTGAGGTCCTCAAAATAAGAACAAGTGCTTTAAAAACTGTATATTTTACTGTTTTTTTCAAGGGCAGGGATTTATTTAAGAGTGCAAGACCATGAGACATTTAAAAAACTCCTGTTGTCATTAGATTGGGGTAGCCCAGTTTTGGTGCAGATAAATTTGGGAACACAAATGTGTTGGTAACACATCTGGTTTTCACTGAGTCTCCATACTCAGTGCAAAATGATTTTTGTGTGTCTAAGAAATTTCAATTAATGCTCAGAAAGCACAAATTGGATTGGTTAAATCAGTGAGGTCCGTGACCTTTATTCATTCTGCTGTCAGGTGAGTTACATCCTGAAGTATTTTATTCACTCTGTACAGGAGGCCAGAGTGGAAAATATCCTGTTTGCTTGTGGCATTGGATTCTTTTGTACAGAGCTAATTAAGAAACTGAAATTTTTTGCAATTCCAACAGATTTGTTCTTTGAAAGGTCAAGCTGAATGTTAACGTTGCTGAACAAATAGATTTTATTTCTTTCTAGTTTATGAATACGTGTATTGTCCTTTTTATAGGTCTGTGCTGAGCTGCCAAATAAAGTCAGGCATGTACTTGATGTTTGTTTTAAAAGTGGTCTTTTAAAATGCAATCAGAGAAAACAAATCCTCTGTGATAACTCAGAGTGGATATTTTATGGCAGCAGCTCCTTAAATTTCATTTGTGCATTTCCAAACCAGCAAGAACAGTTTCCTTTTACTGGGTAATTCCTGCTCTCACAAATCAATGTAATATTTGATTGCTGGAGAGAGGAAAATACACCTTGGTTATTTAAATGTTGTGACAGCCTCAGTCAGCTCAGGGGCTTCCTCCTGGAGAAAGGGAATGGAACACCCTGAAGAGCCAGGATCAGGCCCAGGCAGGGGGTTTGACTTTGGGAAGGCTTTGGGAGAACATTCCCAGTGTCAGCAGAATTCTCCTCCTTCCCAGGGAGCAGCAGGGCAGGCAGGGGTTGGTTTCTCAGTCAGGTGTGACTGGCAGAGGCTTTTACAGAGTTTCATATTTTGCTGTTCATTCTGAGATCAAAGCCAGCACCAAAGTGTTTCTGCTCAGCTTCCACACCAGTTCACCCCTCTGAATCCCAGAGTAAATGGGAAATCATCACACCTTCCACATCTGTAATATTAGGTTTAATAATCTGTCTTTTTCTTGTGGTTTACTGAAATATTTCTGGTCAATACTAGCTCTAAAACTGTCTCAATATAATTGTTTTTTTCTCTGGGTTGTCTTCTTTGCTCCTTGTTGGAATTAGTTCTGTGTGCCTATTAAAAAGAGTCAATATTTCATAATTTCAGTGCTTTTTTAGCTTTGCACAGAGACTGATTCTAAACTGATAAAGGGGTGAAATCCTCTGGATGCAGATCAGTGACTGCTTGAACTTTTCTGTTTCAAATTAATGGAGATCTTTTAGATCTTGTGAGCTAAAGCTTTGCAATATGGACTCCACGAGAACCACAGCTCCAATCTCAGGGGATTTCATTTTATTCACAGTTTATAACAAGCTGACCTTTAAGATACAAGATATTGTTCCATAGCCCATTTTGCATCCCAAATAAATCCAGTAAAAAGCACCTGAGGGAGTTGTTTCCAGGATAAATAGGCAGAATTCTTGTCCTTCCTGCTAATTCAGAATGCACGCTCGTGCACTCGTTCTTGCAGCATGTTTAATCAAATTGTGAATTTCAGCTGAAACCCAAAGGGCATTGGAAGGGTTCTGTCGCCAAGAGTGAGTTTTGCATATTCTATTTTTAGCTCTCCAGCTACATGTGTGCTGCAAATTGCTCTTTGTGTGAACTTCTGTTCACAAGGATCACATATGGGACCATAAAATTAGTCAAGATGCTCTGCTGAATGAGAAATATTCCCTCTTGCATTGTCTTTTGATTAAGGGGCAACTGAACCATTGATAAAAATATAAAAAGGGAATAATATCAGTGCTTGGCATAAAAGATTTGAATTTCCCTGAGAAATTAAACACAATTTATTCCAACTGAACAATAGCATCATTAAATATAGCTCTTTTTACTGCTTTCCAAGATTAAGTTGCTGGGTGAGCTGATTTTGCATCCCTTTAGCTACAGAGCAACTTTTTCTGCTGTTTGTGGGAAAGGAAAGGAAAGGAAAGGAAAGGAAAGGAAAGGAAAGGAAAGGAAAGGAAAGGAAAGGAAAGGAAAGGAAAGGAAAGGAAAGGAAAGGAAAGGAAAGGAAAGGAAAGGAAAGGAAAGGAAAGGAAAGGAAAGGAAAGGAAAGGAAAGGAAAGGAAAGGAAAGGAAAAGAAATTTCAGGAAAAGAAATTTCAGGAAAGGAAAGGAAAGGAAATTTCAGGAAAGGGGAAAGGGAAGGAAAGGGGAAAGGAAAGGAAAGGAAAGGAAAAAGGAAATAGGAAATTGTGAATTGGCAGCAGAAGAGTTTTCAGGATTCTCCACATTGTGCTCCTCTATTTCCAGGTGTTTTTCCCTGTTTTTCTGTCCCATGTGTGCCCCACAAATGCAAGCTCTGTCCCCAGGGAGCTTTGCAGTGCTGGTGTTGGTAGGGAAGGGCTTGAGGGAGTTTTGGTGCCAATTCAGCAGTGACCATCCTGCAGAATGTTTGTGTGAAGCTGTTCTCCAGCAAACCTTGGTGTTCAATATTCCTGATTCCACATGGAAATAAAATCAGGTTTTGTGCATTTCTGCCTGTGAGCTGTGGTGGGGACTGCAAAGGCTCTGAGAGCAAAATTTGCATTTTGGGAATCCTTTGATTGCACTTGGAGCAGGAGCCCATTGATCTTGGATGCCAAGGAGCAGTGATGAACCAACACCACTGATTTCAACTTTCCTGTGCAGCTCTCACTTTCATAATTCCAGTTTTAATTAGAGAGGAATTTCTGCTTTTAATTTCCTGGCTGGGTGTGATGTGCCTGATTAAGAAGACACCACAATTAGGGTTTAGCTGAGGGATTTTCAGCACCAGTGGAAAAGTCCCAGCTGGAGCTGTTGCTGTGAGGATCTAACACTGACTTTTCATTTGCTGCTTGATGGCTGTGAGGGATAAAAGGCTCCTTTTGCCTCTGCTGGGTGAATTATCTGCATTTTTAGTGCTGTTCTGGCTGTGGTTTGGTGCATTTGCACAGAGTGGGGCAGGGTGTGGTGGCAAACCTTGAACCAAAGGAAGAGACATCACAGGAAAGTGCAAAACATTCACTCCCTTCCATCTTCATCCCTTTTCCCAGAGGAAATAAAATCAAAATATGCTGGTGTATATGTTAGTAAATACTCCTCAAGTTATGAATGTGAGCTGTTGTTGGATAAAACCTAAAGGGGAAAATGAAATAAACCACAAAGAGTACAAACAATTTTATTGCAGCTGAAAGGCAGAGTGGATAGGTGATAATATATCAGACACCCAGAATATATAGAAGCCACAAGAAGCAATGACATTCTACAAAGGTGAAACGCTGAAAGGAGAAAAAAATAAGATTTTAGCACAATCTTGCTGCTTTGTGAGGATTGATGCAAATGTGTTGCTGGTATTTGGAACATGGATGTGGTGGCCAGGTGAAAGTTCTTTTTATTTGGGAGAATATATTTGCATGCCAAGCAAGAACAGCTCTGTGATTGTTGGGAGACACAATGTTCCTGTCAGGAGCAGCCTTTGAGAAGGTGTGCAAAGTACAAAATATGCTTCTTTCTTTGAGACTTATTTCTTTTTTTATTCAAAGACTGAATTTTATACATCAAATACTTGAATAATCTTGACTTTATAAAGATTATTTTTTTTTAATTCAAAGACTGAATTTTATTCCTCAAATACTTGAATAATCTTGAAT